TTCGAACAAAAAAGACAAAAAGAATTTATTTTCCAAAAAAACCAAACTAAAAGCAAAGAATAAAACCTAAAGTCCAAAGACTAAAACCCAAAAAAACCCCAAGAAATTGAGACTTAAACCCTAAAATCTAAAACCAACACAGTGTGAATAGTGGATCTTTCAAAGAACACTCAAGCAGGAATAAAGTCTGTAAACAAGAAAATACAAAAAGAGAAAACATATAAGGAAATGATCTAATGAATATTCATGATGTAATAAACAAGTTCTAAGACACAAAGGAAGTGGGAGACACTAATCCCCAAAGTGAAGGATTAGCAAGTAATAAAACAAGTCCAGTGGCACCATCCTATACACAGGCCATGTGAGTTATATGAGAACAAAGAAATTGCAATGAAAAGCTAAAGCACACGGTGAAGAATTTAAGAAAATCTCTAAATCTAATACTAAGAAAATATACAAGAAAAACATGAAAATCTAGAATGCAAATGAACTTTCAACCTTTCTTAGTAATAAAACAAGGCCAAAAAATCTATCCTTAAGTAAAACCAAGGTTAATGAAAATAAACAGAACTAAGAAACTTTTCTCAAAAGAACTCAAAAGAGACCGGTTTCATTGAAAAGACTAATTTAGCTTCCTTATTACAGTAGGAACAAATCAATCATCAGGAAAAGAAGTAAAAAACACTAGTGTCTTAAGTAAAATAATAAATGGAAACAAAATGAAACAAAAAGTTGTAAAAGAAAACATCAAACTGGAGCTTCCTCAAAGATCTAAACTGACCAGAATCAATTCAAAGCTAACAATTAACTTTCAAAAGAAAACTGAACTATATTTCTAATAATAATTATACATGATAAATGAAAAGTAGACAATATACAAAAGAAAACTCACCAAATGACTCGAGCAGACAGAGCTCAAACAGGACAGGCTCTCCAGTTAGGAGGAACATAAAATACCGGTATAAATACTATGAAGTTGTCTCTGTTGGTCTGCTGGTTGAACTAAAGTGTGGCTTGACCATGCGGCAGCTTTTAGGGGGAACATGTGGGCTAAAGTAAACAAACAGGGGGAAACACTACCAACAAAGGGGGGGGGAATCTTAAGTAACTAAAATGATTTCTTTTTGTTCTAAAGGGGAGCTACTCCTATATACTTTACACTTCATACATGAAAAATATACAACCAAAACTGGGCCCTGCCACATTCACGCCATCTTAAAATCATTGCTGTCCCCATCAATGGCAAACAAAAGACTTTATACAATTAAAATGATTTCAACAAACACACGAAAAACAATGCACAAAACACTTCAATAAATAATTAATGACTATGAACTAGCCGGCAATCAACCATACTGGTAGGACCCTTCCACATACTGGAATTCAAGGGGAGGTGGGATGACACAAACATCATCCACCATAGGGGCTGTCATCTCGTCACTGACATCTCGAAACCCGACTGGAGGGGGAACTCTGGTAGACATCCTCTCACAGTGTTGCCTCACTCGCTTCTTGTGTCGTCTCATGTACTCCATGGTTTCGTTATGGAGACCAGGCCAGAAGTACTGTCCTCTCACTAGATTTAGGACCTGTCCATGTCCACGTGTCTCCATGCTTTGATGCAAGCCGCGTAGTACTTCCTCTCTTAAGCTGCGGGGTAGTACCGGTACCATCAGAGTCTTGGCCTCGTCTTCACCTCGTCTGTAGAGAAGCAGGCCACTTCTTACTTCAAGACGATCCCAGACGTTCAGTAATCGCTGTACCGCTTTTGGTCGACGTGCCATCTTGCTCTGGCTCATCCTCTTAGGATTGGACAGCTTCTGTTCCACCACTCTCCTAATGGCTGGATCCTGTTGCTGTGCTTGGCGCAGACTTTGGCAACGTCCAATGCCTCCATTAATACCTTGGCTTAACTGGCCACTGGTTGGGGCGACGGTAGGAACTACTACTTGTCTTCGAGGGAGGACATGATGAGGGGCTTCTTCTTGACTCTTGGGTTCTTGCGTGTGGATGGAGACGGGGGAAACAAAGACTTGACTCTGCATGCTCATCCTCTGATGCTGCCGCCCTTTGATAACTTGTGAGATGACCTCTTTCAGCATGTTGATTTGCCGAAACTGCTGGAGAATGACTTGCTGCATCTGAGCTTGGTGTTGCAGCAGCTCCAGGATGTGTAACTGTGGAGTCAGGATTCCAGTCATTGTGTACTCCTCAGACCCACCAATAACAACACTGTGTTGGTTTTGACTCTAAAATACTGACCACCAAAGACGGACCAAAAAACCTTTTAAAAATGCCTATAGTCCCTATTAAAACAATTCCTGGCTAAGTTCTAAAAAACATATTCCCTACCCGGATCTTCCACAAAAATAGTAAAAAAATGTAACCTGGAAAAATGACACACTATGGGGAACTCGCACTAAATTTACTACAACTAAACTAAACTCAGGATCTTTGAAGAGAAAAGTCGCGAGGAGACTGAATTAATAGGGACAAGGGACACAATTCTAGATTTCGAACAAAAAAGACAAAAAGAATTTATTTTCAAAAAAAAACAAACTAAAAGCAAAGAATAAAACCTAAAATCCAAAGACTAAAACCCAAAAAAACCCCAAGAAATTGAGACTTAAACCCTAAAATCTAAAACCAACACAGTGTGAATAGTGGATCTTTCAAAGAACACTCAAGCAGGAATAAAGTCTGTAAACAAGAAAATACAAAAAGAGAAAACATATAAGGAAATGATCTAATGAATATTCATGATGTAATAAACAAGTTCTAAGACACAAAGGAAGTGGGAGACACTAATCCCCAAAGTGAAGGATTAGCAAGTAATAAAACAAGTCCAGTGGCACCATCCTATACACAGGCCATGTGAGTTATATGAGAACAAAGAAATTGCAATGAAAAGCTAAAGCACACGGTGAAGAATTTAAGAAAATCTCTAAATCTAATACTAAGAAAATATACAAGAAAAACATGAAAATCTAGAATGCAAATGAACTTTCAACCTTTCTTAGTAATAAAACAAGGCCAAAAAATCTATCCTTAAGTAAAACCAAGGTTAATGAAAATAAACAGAACTAAGAAACTTTTCTCAAAAGAACTCAAAAGAGACCGGTTTCATTGAAAAGACTAAAGCTTCCTTATTACAGTAGGAACAAATCAATCATCAGGAAAAGAAGTAAAAACACTAGTGTCTTAAGTAAAATAATAAATGGAAACAAAATGAAACAAAAAGTTGTAAAACAAAACATCAAACTGGAGCTTCCTCAAAGATCTAAACTGACCAGAATCAATTCAAAGCTAACAATTAACTTTCAAAAGAAAACTGAACTATATTTCTAATAATAATTATACATGATAAATGAAAAGTAGACAATATACAAAAGAAAACTCACCAAATGACTCGAGCAGACAGAGCTCAAACAGGACAGGCTCTCCAGTTAGGAGGAACATAAAATACCGGTATAAATACTATGAAGTTGTCTCTGTTGGTCTGCTGGTTGAACTAAAGTGTGGCTTGACCATGCGGCAGCTTTTAGGGGGAACATGTGGGCTAAAGTAAACAAACAGGGGGAAACACTACCAACAAAGGGGGGGGGGAATCTTAAGTAACTAAAATGATTTCTTTTTGTTCTAAAGGGGAGCTACTCCTATATACTTTACACTTCATACATGAAAAATATACAACCAAAACTGGGCCCTGCCACACACTCACCCAGGTTGATGGGGGCACCAGCCAATTAGCGCCAGTGTATATAAGCGGCCATGCGCTCAGCTTCGCCCTCTTTCTGCTGTGGCCGGAACCCGTGCGCGGTCTCAGGAAAAGTTGCACTGTTCTAATCTCCCACAATTAACCAATCACCAATCACCTATACTATAGTCGCAGCGGAGGGAGCCTCATACTTTGTGTGAGTGTAGTTAATTAATGATTCCTGCATTATAATCCAGATAATTATGTAATCTCTGAGTTTGTAAGGGAAGTGATTGAGTATAAGATCACGTAGGCGAGGCGCCTGGGTAGGCGAATAAAATAATCTTCCGAAAGACATATCTGGTGTCAGGTCCCCATCCTTCCCCAGTCCCCCTTGTTAGTCCGCTTGGGTTGTGTGAGCGAGAGTGCGTGTAAGGGTGATCCTTTGGTAGTCTGCTGCGGGCCTGGCGGTAAATCTCCACCGTAACGGATCTGCGTACCCGACGGTAGAGACTGGGCCGTTCGCCGCTACTCGCCGGGGCAGTCGTCCGAGGCAGTACCGCTACAGTATTAAATCTTTATAATAATTCAGTTTGTGAGCAAACAAAATTTGTGTCGGAAAAGGCCTCAACAATTGTAGTTTTTAATACACCGGTTATGTTAAAATTTTTGAGTGAAACTTTTATACAGTTAAAAATTAGGGATATCACACAAATAAAGTTAAATACACTGTATTTGGCCTGCAAATTATTGAAACATTCTTTGTATGTACATGTACACGTATCATGAACATAATCACAATACACTATTTATCATGCTGGCATCCGGAAATTGGGCACAAATCAGGCGGAGGGGTTGTTCCTTTGTTCATGTTCCTTAAATCATGGTGGGGGGGGGGTAGACTTCCAAGTAAATGCCATGTTTAATAATACGAACGGTAGGCCTATTGGCAAAAACCACGTGAAAACGTGTTGCAATCTGACGCCACTTTATATCATCTCTATGAAGGTCATTCATTGCAAAAATAATATTTAACTTGAATCTTGGACCAAGAAACATTTCCAATTTTCAGGAAATAATTAAAAAGTTTTCTTGCCTCTCCATAGACCTTGTTCACAATTGCAGAAGTGGCATCACATTGCAACATTTTTCCCAAACTACTTTATCTTAATTTTTTTTGTGAGGAATTTTTGGCAGTGTATTTATCAGGCTCCCGTAATACGTAAATGATAATTTGCCAAATAGGCACTCATCATGGCCAGCAAATTATTGAAACATGTAGGCCCATTTTTCCCTCACCAAAATGGCCGCCCTACTGGAGTGGACGGAGGACTTGGCTGGGAGTGGATGCAGGACTTGGCTGGGAGTGGATGCAGGACTTGGCTCGGAGTGGATGGAGGACTTGGCTGGGAGTGGATGGAGGACTTGGCTGGGAGTGGATGGAGGACTTGGCTCGGAGTGGATGCAGGACTTGGCTGGGAGTGGATGCAGGACTTGGCTGGGAGTGGATGGAGGACTTGGCTGGGAGTGGATGGAGGACTTGGCTGGGAGTGGATGGAGGACTTGGCTGGGAGTGGATGGAGGACTTGGCTGGAGTGGATGGAGGACTTGGCTGGGAGTGGATGGAGGACTTGGCTGGGAGTGGATGCAGGACTTGGCTGGGAGTGGATGCAGGACTTGGCTCGGAGTGGATGGAGGACTTGGCTGGGAGTGGATGGAGGACTTGGCTGGGAGTGGATGGAGGACTTGGCTGGGAGTGGATGGAGGACTTGGCTGGGAGTGGATGGAGGACTTGGCTGGGAGTGGATGGAGGACTTGGCTGGGAGTGGATGCAGGACTTGGCTGGGATTGGATGCAGGACTTGGCTCGGAGTGGATGCAGGACTTGGCTGGGAGTGGATGCAGGACTTGGCTGGGAGTGGATGGAGGACTTGGCTGGGAGTGGATGGAGGACTTGGCTGGGAGTGGATGCAGGACTTGGCTGGGAGTGGATGCAGGACTTGGCTGGGAGTGGATGCAGGACTTGGCTGGGAGTGGATGCAGGACTTGGCTGGGAGTGGATGCAGGACTAGGATTTGTTTGAAAACTGATTATTTTCAAAGTGCTCCGAGCACAAACGGCAATTTGTGCTTAAATATAGTGGCGTTCTTCCCAGCAAATCTTTCCGACGGGTGTTCTGTACCCACTGTAGACATCTACAGAAATTGAAAAGCAAAAACACATTTTCAGAGGATTTTCCACCCCCCCTTTTTTTAATAAAGAAGGCGGTTAGGTAACTTATGCAGTCTTGTTAAATGTCTCACTGAGGACTAGGCAAGCTTATTTCTTTAAATTAGGCCGAGCCTATTTTGCCTAGGCTATGTGCCTCCCTACATATGCCCTAGTAGTAGTAGTACGTTACGTAATGCAATGAAGACGCCATGATCCAGGCCTGAGCTAGGCCTAGCCCAGCCTAGGCCAAGGCATGTCTAATGGCTAACTGTAACCATCCAGGGTCAAGGCTAGGCACATGCCCATGAACGAATTAGACACACGCCTAAGATTACATTTCTCGGGGGAAAGGAACGAATAACATGAATAAAAAAAAAGAATGGACAAAAATTTGGCCTCAACTTACTCAAGCCTGGCGTCAAGCGTCAAGGGTCAATGTGCAGATTAATTTACGCGATAAAGGCAACGTTAAAAGTTAAAAATCTGTTTCTTACCTCTCCTTGTTCTTTGGGAATCTAAAGAATGACAAGTCTGGGCATTTTGACTGCCGATTATGGCAATTTATTGCCGAACAATGGGCAGAAGAACACGAAGAAGTGGCAGACGCCATTGTTAATATTTTTATGTAGGCCTACACATCCGGGACCTTTTCAACTTTTCGCATCCTATCATGGCGGCGGGAGTCTGCCCGACGTGATCACGCTTTTTGACGTTGAGTAATCCATCTTGCGCCGCAAGCGGCGCTATCCGGCTCGTTAGTAAAAACGTCATACACGCGCACGCACCACTGATTACTAGCGCCCATTGGCTGCAAACGCTCGAACTGCGTTAACTTCCGGTTCCAAACGGTGCAGAAAGTGCTGGAGGTGACGTCACACTAACGAAGCGGATAGGATCTTTGGATGTGACGAGTAGGGTCGTAGCAACCTCGTCCCCAGGGTGTCGAGCAGTACGCGCCCACCACTACCTGCTCTCTCACCCTGGTATTGGATCATTTGCATGTGCAAGATTTTTGCACACGTATGCAAATGAGGAACAGTCTGGTGCCTGGATATGCGTTACACATTAGCGTTTGTTTTTGTATGCGGTGTCTGGGGTAAAAACAGAGTCAATTCGTAGCAGCGCGAGCAGGCCCGGGGTGAGTTACGAAAACACGATTTTTGAAATCAACTGTTACGATCTTATCAAGACAACATGCAGTATCATATTTCATATTAATATGAGCAAATTGGAAAGGAAATTAGTATTTTCGAGAAGGCGTGGACGAATGATCGCGAAAACACGTACTGCACGTTGTGAATATATAGCACCAAGTACACGATAAAAATCCATTACTAGCCAATTGCGGTATCCAATCAGGATACAGGAAGAAAGTTTCCTATCCAGGGTTTACTATTGGAAACGCGGTTGGAAATAAAGTAAGCACTGGGGACGAGGTTGGGGTCGTAGCCATTGATCTCCATATACACAGACTGGATAGGACATCGCGCCGTGTTTGTGCACGAATGCGCGGCCGAACAATGGCGGCGCGTTTACCGTCAGACGTAAACGCGCATTGTGCTTTCACTTTGTTTACTTTGGAAAATGGATTGTTGAGTGAAATTTTTCTTACAGGAGGGAATTCAAGCGCTCCTCCAAAACAAATCTTAAAAAAAAAACTGAACGATGAAGAGTTACCCTCAATCCCTCCAGACAGCTTTTCCACACTTTCTTGATATACACTTTCTTATTATGCATTTTCGAAATTCAAGAACCCCCATTTCCTTTTCCCTTATTTTTTTTTTAAATCCCTTCTCCTCCCAAAAATGATTGTAAGTAAATTGCCATTTCATTTTTGGCACATTGGTCATTAGAGCACACTGAATTACTCCATCAACGAAATAAATAGTTGTATTAGTAATATGATGAAATGACATCATATATTTTTTTTAACTGAACACTCACACGAGAAATTGTATGAAGATTCATTCAAATGATTGATCTAAAAGGTTTCGATACACTTTATGATGTTCTTGACCTTGTACAGGGATTCTCCTGATAACTTATTTATTTCCCTTAAAGCCATTTCTCCCTGTGGAAACTTACTTAAGTACGAATTATTGTATTAGTAATAATTTATGCTGAAATGACAGCACATTTTTTTAACTGAACACTCACACGAGAAAATTAGTACTATACTAATTTTGTCAAAGAATAATTCAAGCTATGCACGGTCTTGTTTACAATTAAATGTTTAGCTCTACTTCTGAAAATAAATGTAATTACTTGTCAGTGTAGTGGAAATCGTTTTTGTGAGCGAATATGTATATGGCTATAGCTAGTAATCTTATATAACGGCGTACACAACATAATTTCAAACCGTAAAAGTACTCATTGCTTTCCTCATCATACAAACTGTCAATAATGTGACAGTCATCTTGGGAGCTCATAAAAATACTTGCGTTGAACTCCACAACTTCTTTCCAAAAACAAAATCAATCAATGTTAACAGTTCCACATCGTAAGAATTGATTTAAAAGTCAAACGCTCAGATGCCTATCACATCGCATGTTCCATTCAGTGGATGATACAGTCGATTAATTCCATCCCTCCGTGAAGTTCTCCATTTTCGTCCGGCTCGGTCCTGCAGCTGGTGGTTTTTGCTGTGGCTTTGCTGAAGTTCTTTGTTTGATATGAAGGTCAAACGGCAAGTTGTGCAGTAAGTTAGCATAAACCATCTCCTCGGTTTCTCTTTATAAAGAAAAATAACAGAAACATTTCGGTAAGCGTTAAGCCAAGGTAGCTCTACTGAGTGGAGCGCTGGAACTTCGGTACCCTCCGTACAAGCTTGTACGGAGGGTGCCGAAGTTCCAGCGCTCCACTCAGTAGCGCTGGAACTTCGGTACCCTCCGTACAAGCTTGTACGGAGGGTGCCGAAGTTCCAGCGCTCCACTCAGTAGAGCTAAAGCCAAGGCAGACATAATTCAATCAGATTTTGCATATAAAAGTTATCAAAGTTATTCGAATAAACTATTTTAAACAAGTCAACTTTTGTTCATTGCCATTGCCGGGTCAGTCATGCACGTAGGATATGTCTTAAAAAAACATGGATGGCGACCAGCATGACAGGCCTAGATCGCATGGAATTTGAACAGAATATCTCGCTAGACACAGGCCTCCTTCCCCTCGCAGAGCGACAACATTAACGATATTATAATTTGCTTTGTCTTCCCATGTTCATATTCCTCCATGCCATGTTGTATACTATAGGCCTCGTTAAAAAACAACTTACTTGCGAATAATTGTCCTATTCTTCAACGCTCCTTACTTCCCGACTCCAGCAATCTAATGCTGCGCACACCTTGACTATACTCCTCGTCGATTTTGATCAATTTAGATCTCTGTTTCTTTTATTTTTTCAAAAATGACAAAGAAACCGAAGAAACCCCAACTTCATTTTTTAATCCTCCGTTCGGAAGTGTACACAACTCGAATGCGAAATTGTGTTCTTTACCCTTTTCAAAAAACGCGCGCGCGGACGCACGTTCGTACGCGATGTCCTATCCAGTCTGTGTATATGGAGATCAATGGTCGTAGCATTGGCACCAAAGATCCAATAGCTAGCGCGCCGCAAGCGGCGCTATACGATATTTGGATGTGATGAGTAGGGTCGTAGCATTGGCACCAAAGATCCTATAGCTAGCGCGCCGTAGGCGCAAGATAGATCACTGTGTACTGAACGCTTATTGGCTGAGCGTGTCACTCACGGAGCCGAGCCGCCGCCATTTTAGGAAGTAAAGTCGCGGTGTCTGGACGCCCTCTCGTGAATTTCCCCATAGCTTATCGTTGTTGAAAGAAGTAAACAACTTGACAAGTTTTCATCGTAATTTTGTGGGAAATCAGGTGGCATTCTTAAGATTGATAAGCAGTCATAATTGAAGCATATTCGGTACGTATGTTCACGTATGTATTTTGTTTAGGTTTATTTCAAATGGTGACTTTTTAAAGAGGTTGTGGAATGCTCGAAGACATTTCCGTCATTTTATGTAGCCTAGGGTGTGATAAAATAAAATTAACGACTATTGTTTCTGTCATAAAATGAATACAAAAGGTACTTTTTGAGAGCTGTTTTTCAGGTCTCGTTTCGACCCGAACGTGCAATTTGTGTAAAAGTCGTCGTTGGGGGCAGCAAACAAAACATAGTAAATCGTGACGTAATAAACAGGACTCGAGATCGATGCAGCGTAGTTCCAGCGAAACTTTTTGCAAATCACTCCGCGCAACGACATGACTTTGTTTACAATTGCACTGAGCGACATTTTGTATGGGCAGCCACATGCTCCATAAATTCAACCGTAGTTGGCAACAGCTTTTACCCCCGAAATTCTAATGGGCAAGCTCAGAATTTAATAGGAAGATATCTCCATTGACTTTTTGGTACTTAATTAATATTGATTATATTCAGTGTTTTGATAGTTAGACATCATTTTATTTATAGATCGGGGATCATTCTTTTGTGTTTGCCTTAACCGTGCCAACCATAGTAAGAAATGTCTGCGTTACAGCCTGACATCAACATCGTTCGATCGTTCACATGCACATCGCATCACCGCGACACGCGCTATGTAAAGCTGTCTGGAAATTCACGGGTGTACTTGTGCCGCTGGCCCGGCCGCTGGGACCGTAGATTTTGACACCGGTAAACGGTGTTGGAATTTCAAAATAATTCGTTGTTGATACGTGTACGGGTAGCGAACGCACTAGGCCAAGGCAAACCTATATGCCTATAAGTGTGTCAGTCGCTGGCTGTAATCACACCACATTTTGTTTGCAATAAATTTCCAGCTTTCCCGTCCGGGTGTCAGCATAGCTAGCTGGAGGAATAAGAATCCTCCGTAGCCATGCAGTTTGTCCGAAGGTAGCTCGACTGCGTCTGGCCGGCCATACAGTACTATCGCAAGCTCTGTAGTACGGCCAGACGCTCAACGCTTCCACAAAGACTGAATTTTTTTCCCCGCTGATGTAGCAATTTTGCTACAGATTTTGATCGAGATTATCTTTTCATCCAGGACACAAATTTCCAAAGTTAAGGTTCTTAGTCGTAGAGCAACTCATACCTTTTTGAAAACACATTCTTTGGTCTCAATATTTTCATCCATCTGGCCAAAAGACGACTTTTAGTCATCATCTTCCACAAATATCGTCCTGAAAATGTCCTCCATGCGATTTCAAAATGGCGGCCGCGTTGTAATGTATGCATTATGCGAGCGTGCTTGGGTAAGATAATGAATATGCATTATTTTGTTCATGACCTCGTGTTTGTATGGTCAGCCGCGCCGCGCGCCCGACAAACGTCATAAACTATGATGCATATATTCATTATCTTACCCAAGCACGCTCGCATAATGCATACATTACAACGCAGCCGCCATTTTGAAATTGCATGGAGGACATTTTCAGGACGATATTTGTGGAAGATGATGACTAAAAGTCGTCTTTTGGCCAGATGGATGAAAATATTGAGACCAAAGAACGTTTTTTCGAAAAGGTATGAGTTGCTCTACGACTAAGAACCTTAATTTTGGAAATTTGTGTCCTGGACGAAAAGATAATCTCGATCAAAATCTGTAGCAAAATTGCTACATCAGCGGGAAAAAAAATTCAGTCTTTGTGGAAGCATTGAGCGTCTGGCCGTACTACAGAGCTTGCGATAGTACTGTACGGCCAGACGCAGTCGGGCTATAGTCCGAAGGGTACCGTGCGAAAACACGAGATGGGATTTCAGCCAAATTAACGGATAGAGCGCTGATCATGCACTTTTGTACGGCAAGAGTCTTCTTTTTTCAAGAGATTTGTTGAAATCGGACAAGAAATAATAGAGATATGATTTGTTAATGATTTACAGGGAAGACTGTTTTGGACCATTTGTCCATTGCCAATCTTGAAGAACCGTAGACCCGTTCAAATGTATCCTCGACTCTCCATTATCTGCGCAGCATACGCGCACGCGTTGTCGCACACAAATTGAAGGTAAATGCGTAGAAAAAGGACCGCGTAGTTTTCCTTACGTTAGTGCTAATTAAAAGTGTTGTGCATTCATGCAGTGCAGACGTGCTCTCTGTTCTCTCTGGTTTCTTCGCCTTTTTTTTACTGAAAAGTCATGCTTTCATGTTTCTTTGAGGAGCTTTTTACCCTTACCAATACATTCTTTCATCACCTGGACTACTTCTGATGTTCTCTTGCTAAATTTTGGGACGTTTTGAGAGCCTTCACCTCAGGTTTCACCGTTCACCATATGTGTATACTGGCTGACTGACTGAGTGCCGTTCACATGGTCGACAATCATGCAATTTTGCAAGTAGAACTGAAAACAAATTTTTCTCAGCCATCCACCCCCAATCCCTTGTCAATCGGGTTGCTTGCATCCTATTGTACACATGGTCACTCTCTATATCATCATATTTGTATTTTGGTGCCAATTATCCACATTTATTTCAAGCCATATTGAACTCCCACACATGGCGGCCATCTTGAACTTTATGTTGAAGCCTGCCATTATGCCATGATTAGTACATGCATACATGTAGGCCTACGGGTGATCTCTGAACCTATGAACTGCGACGCCTTACAAGCCTAAGTACCCCTGTGGTATTTGCAGTCGTGCTGTTCGTTGGAAAACCCCTGCAGTAGCCTGTGATGATTGCGAAGTCTGGTTTCATAAGAACTGTGTACACATAAGCACTCAAACATTCAATTACCTATGCGACCCTGATGTAAGTTGGCATTGCCCCACCTGTGGTATCTTACACTTACTTCAAGTTTCTTTGAATCATCCATCGTTGTCTCTGATCCAGCATCACATGCATCTTCATCCTGTACATGTAGCAACATATCTCAAGAAAATAACTTCGACAGCGCATGTACTAGCGCACATAGCCCAATTGGTCTGCCATCAGCCATCTCATCTCCAAATAAATCCAACGCGCCTGTCAATATTGCCGGCAACCCCCTCCCTTCAAACCTGGGCGTTCTGGTCATTAACTGTCGTAGCATCAGAAATAACTGGTGGAATTTTGGAACATCCTGCACACCGCTAAACCTGGCATCGTCATCCTTACAGAAACCTGGTTAAATCCCAACATTTCTAACCATGAAGTCTTTCCCCCCGAACTAGACTATGAGCTGTATAGGAGGGACAGATCAGACAGTTGTGGTGGAGTCGCCATCGGCGTGGGTCCTGGTCTGGATGGAAAAAATCATCCAGACAGCCGACGATTGTGAGGCACTCTTTGTCGAGATCGATCTCAAACACAGAAACGCCAAACACAAACATGCGAATCTCTCATTGTTGGCGCAGTATACCGCCCCCCACGCTCAAATGAGAACTACTTAGAGTGCCTGTGTAGTTCCATACGTAACATTTCCAGCAACAACAGGAAATCCATTGTGTGGATAGGTGGCGACCTTAACCTGCCCGACATTGAGTGGTCCAGTTCATCTGTCATTGGTCATCGGTACCCACAAAGCCTTAGTAATAATTTCATCACCACACTGGCCGAATCTGGACTTGATCAGATTGTTTCGTTTCCCACCAGACTAGACAACACCCTAGATCTGTTCCTCACCAACAGACCATCATGTATTAACAAGTGCCTCCCAATTCCAGGCATTAGTGATAATGAGATCGTCTTCGTTGACACAGACATCAAGCCTAAACGCCAAAGACCCGTGAGAAGGAAAATATACCTTTGGAATAAGGCCGACATGCAACAGATCCGCTGTGAAGGAAATAAGATGAAAGATGAATTTGTAACCAAATTTGACGCTTCATCCCCTGTCAGCGAGATGTGGGACACCATAGAGTTAAAACTCTCCAAAATCTTGGACCTTGTTCCATCCAAATTCACATCTAGTCGTTTCAACCAGCCATGGATAACCCGCAAAATCAAGCAGCTCAGTAGGCAGAAACAACGTGCTTACAACAAGGCTTGCTCCCATCGCCGTCATCGCAATCACCGTCACTGGGCCAGGTACAACGTCCTGAAGAAACGTATGCAGAACGCATGCAGAGAAGCATACAACAACTACATCAACAACATTGTGTGCCCAGATCTCAAGTCAAATCCCAAGCGTTTCTGGAGCCATATCTCAAGCAAGCGCTGTGACAACAATGGTGTTGCCCCTCTTCGTGGCCCCAGAGGAGCTACATACACTGGAAGTAAGGATAAGGCAAATATTCTCAACGACCAGTTTTGTTCAGTCTTCAACAAAGATGAGGATCCATCCACCATGCCAGTCCTTGGCCCTAGTCCATTTCCTACTATGGATCACATACAGATAAATGCCAACGGCGTAATCAAATTGCTGAAGAAAATAAATCCTCATAAAGCCACCGGCCCAGATAATATTCCAGCTCGTCTGCTGAAAGAACTTGCTAACAGCCTTGGACCTGTGCTCTCCATCTTGTATCAAGCCTCGTTGGACAGTGGGGATCTCCCTGAAATATGGAAATCAGCCACCGTTGCACCTGTATTCAAGAAAGGAGATAGGAATAAACCAGCCAACTACAGGCCCATCTCACTCACAGCCATCTGCTGCAATCTTCTAGAGCATATCATACACAGCTCCATCATGCAGCACTTCCAGGATTACAACATCCTGTCCGACAATCAACACGGTTTCCGTAAAGCCCGCTCATGTGAATCCCAGCTCATCATCACCATGGATGACATTGCCCACAACCTGGATGAAGGTCTTCAAACTGACCTCATACTATTGGACTTTTCGAAGGCATTTGATAAAGTTCCCCATCTTCGTCTCCTCCATAAGCTGAAGTACTACGGCATCGATGGCAGTGCACTTACCTGGATCAGCAACTTCCTTCAGGGTAGAGTCCAGAAAATTGTCCTGGAGGGGGAGTCGTCAGCTCAATCCCCTGTGTCATCCGCGTACCCCAGGGTACTGTCCTTGGCCCCCTTCTATTCTTGGCCTATATCAATGACTTCCCAGGCTGTATTTCTGAAGACTCCAGTGTTAGACTGTTTGCTGACGACAGTGCTATCTACCGTGTCATAAACAACATCGACGATGCCGACCAGCTCCAGCAGGACCTCAACACCATGCAGGAGTGGGAGAGGAAATGGCTCATGGAGTTCCATCCAGAGAAATGTCAAGTACTTCGCATCACCAAACGTCGCAAACCGGTAAAGTTCACTTATTTCATCCACAACCACCCTCTGAAGGCAGTACCATCAGCTAAATACCTAGGGGTAGAACTCACTGACAACTTATCCCGGACAGCACCTCCTCCAAGAAGTGCTTGAGATCCCTTGGCTTCCTACGACGCAACTTGAGCAACTGCCCTCGTGAAGTAAAGACCCGCTGCTATACCACCCTTGTGCGGCCTATTGCTGAGTATGCCAGTTGCGTATGGGACCCTTCCACAAAAAGGAACATTACCAAAATTGAATCTGTCCAGCGTAGTGCTGCCCGGTACATTATGAATAACTACTCCAGAGACAGCAGTGTCAACACCATGCTGAGTAAACTGGGCTGGGAGTCTCTACAACACCGAAGAGCCATCTCCAAAGTCACAATGATGTACCGGATCACCAACAAACTCATCGACATCCCAGACAACCACCTTATCCAGGTCAACTCATCTACCAGAGGTAACAGCCAGAAATTCCTCATCCCACCCACCCGTACAACCTTACTGAAGGGCTCCTTCTTCCCAGACACCATCCACCTGTGGAACTCACTGCCCCAGCAAATTGTTGAGTCACCAACCCTGGATGTCTTCAAGACCAGAGTGAACGGTGTCACCTTCAGATAACCAACCTGTCCCAAAATAGCTGTTTTTTTACTTGCACATATTTGTCTTTTTATGCCTCGAGTTTCTGCACAGTATAGGAAGATGATGATGATGATGATTAATGTGACTAGTCTGGTTCCCAGACCTGACAATTATTCCCGACGCTCACGTCTTAAATTGTAGGTCAGGCAGCCTCCGTGGCTAAAAATAAACATGACGACATTAGGCCAAAAAAAAGGTCTCCGGTTTCTGGTATGGAGCTTGCCCCAAAAGTGGTGCGGCGACGCGTCTTTCTTTTTTTTCACCTTTTTTTTTTTTTTTTTTGGCTTCAAATGATTGACTGCAAATGGTGTCCGACTAAACTTAGTGCAAATATATGGGAGTCCAGAGAGGCCACATAAAGCTTATTCTCGATCATAACCCAATCTAAAAACACGTTAAAATTGTGCAGCAGCAGAATTCCAGTCAAACCAGTGAGTTTGGCGGTTTTGAGACATCATCTTGTATTGAAAAAAAAAACCTTTTTCATTTTGCCGACGCGCATGGCTACGGCGACGCGCGTGCATACCAGAAACCGGAGACTTTTTTTTTTTGGCCTTAATGGCCCTTTTTCACAGCGCGGCCTCGTTTCCGATTTCGCTTTATCACTTGTAGCTTTTAATGTTCTGATCAAATCTTTAAATAATTCACTTGCTTCGTAATATCATATGATAATACAGTTTGATGTTTTCGTAAGATAACATTGAGTAATGTTGATCTGGAATCTTCAAAATTAGGGAACCAAATAGCACTGTTAGCAGGCGGAGCCGAATGAAGACCAAGTTTTGGAAAATCTCGGTAACGGTCGTCAAATTCAAAATTGTACATGACGCACAGCAAAAAGTTCGCCCGTACGATCCGAGTATATTTGATGCACACAATCGTCGTTGAATTTCAAGTTTTCTAAATGAAAACAATGAATATTAATTGTCAACTCATTTAAAATAAAATTAATAACCAATCAGCAGTTAATTAAACCTATATTATATACTCGGAAATACTCGGGCGCTATCCGATTGTCGACGAAACGACTTCGGCAAACTTCGGAAAAAGGAGGAATTCCTCCCGTTTTAGTCACGTGACGTAAATTGTAATACATTGTATTACCGGAGGCTACCGGACCTAAGATTCATCAGGAATAGTCGGAATCTTTTGGTCTGGGAACCAGACTATGTGACAGGCCTCCATTTTCCCTAGAACTTCTTTTGATCGAATGACAAATTCTCTGCCACTGGAATTTCTTGAATAAAGTCTTAATTAGGTACTGAAAATAATGATAGTGCTCGTTAAATTTCGGGACCAGTGAATTTTGTTTTCAACCGGGATCCCGAACATGTCGTTAAGTCCAGAGATTTTTGTTTTATGAAGCATGACTATGATTTATGAATTGTCCTTTTTTTTGTAGCCAGGTTTACAGGCCGAGGTGAAGCGGTAGTCCCATGGTCTCCTGGCGATGTTTTACGGCTTTTTTTGGGTAAACAATAAAGTTAACAAATTCAAAATTCAAGTAAATTCGTAATTATCGTTTCAGGATGTTAAAACAAGGGTTAAAATGCACAAGGAAAGAAAAGAGAAGAGGACTATTTTTTTGTGGCGAACGTATACATAAAAAACACCAGGCAACGCAAGGAACTTGACCGGGGCCCGCGACGCTGCTAACCGTACAACATTAGTTCTGGACACGGTCGACCACATCCACTGCCGTGATGCGTTATGCGTGCCGTACGCGTATAATTCGAAAACAACCTGACGATTTGTCGTCTCTTTGGACTGAATATTCACCAGAATAACGTTTGAGATTGTCTGTAAATCACGAAGAAAGTTGCGGTAGGACTGTTGATGCTCATCTAAAAATGTTATCATGAACATAATACTTTGAGTCCTTGGATAAAACGCAGCTGTTTTTTTCGCAAACGTCGCAGACCTACCACTCATCAGAGCCGCGTTGCCTGGCATTTTCAGCTGGCAGTTGCAGTATCCGTGTTTTCGCTGGTCTCTTTTTCGGGCAGTTGGGTCTCAAATTTATACGGAAGAACAGCTCAGAGGTCACCGTGTCCTTGTTCAAAATACTCATCCAAAAATTAAGCAATGGGAAGGAATATCAATCTCCGCGAGTCTTTTACAAAATGTTGATTTTTCACTGCTTGACTGCGAGTCGAGTCACACGTGCTGACGGGCGGGTTGGGCAGCAGTAAACAATCGTTGTATAAACGAGTCCTGTTTATTACGTCACGCTTTTTCTGATTTTACGAAAAGCCCGACGACTGTTGATTTTCAATTATGCGCTCGCCGACAAACAAATTACTCGATGAATTTCAGTTTTATAAACATATAAACGCACATTAGAAAAGAACGGGAGTTTGTCATTATGCTATATATGGGTCTACTCTACAATATAACAATATAAAAAACAAAACGATTTTCAGCATTCCACAACCTCTTTAAAGAAAATAGGTTTTGGTCGATGAAAACAAATTTTGGCATAGCAATGCATACTAAGACTAAGTATTGTTACTTGAGCAAGGCACACATGGCACATGCTTCATGAAAGTTTGATCTTCCCGATTTTCCTCAAAAGTACTTATAGTTGTTTGTTATTGTTAACTTGGATGAACTTCACATTAATTCAGTTAAATATTAGGCCACAAAGTAATTCAAACATTCTTTGGGAATGAGAACATAGTATCATGCTGACGTCCGGAAATTGGGCACAAATCTATCATCATTGTAATTTGTAGTCATTGTAATTTTATGGAAAATAAGCATCCAGGTCAAGTCCGAGTCACAAGCTGCAAACGACTCAAGTCTCAAGTCCGAGTCACGACCGTCACCTTGAGTACTGCATTGGAAATACATTTTCAGGTACTGCGAAAACCTTACAGTGTAAATTTCCACTTTTTTAGACAGCCTTTCCCTCATTTAATAAACGATATAAAATAAACCATAGATAGAAAGTCATTCGATCTACGGTGATCTGCAGATCTGTATGCTTTGTCCTTTTATTTAACATACAATTAGGGGGGCTCCTTTGGGGTTTTTGCCCACGGCCTTTGGCCCCGGTGCGCAGGAACAAAAAAAGATAACGACATAGTCACCTTTTTTTTTTTTGCCACAACCGCTTCTGATTTTCTGTACGGAGTGTATCTTTGTTTCAAATTCAATCGCCATTTTTGTTTACAACAAATACATATTAAATCTTTATAATAATTCAGTTTGTGAGCAAACAAAATTTGTGTCGGAAAAGGCCTCAACAATTGTAGTTTTTAAAACACCGGTTATGTTAAAATTTTTGAGTGAAACTTTTATACAGTTAAAAATTAGGGATATCACACAAATAAAGTTAAATACACTGTATTTGGCCTGCAAATTATTGAAACATTCTTTGTATGTACATGTACACGTATCATGAACATAAACACGATACACTACTTATCATGCTGGCGTCCGGAAATTGGGCACATATCAGGCGGAGGGGTTGTTCCTTTGTTCATGTTCCTTAAATAATGGGGGGGGGGTAGACTTCCAAGAAAATGACATGTTTAAAAATAAGAATGGTAGGCCTATTGGCAAAAACCACGTAAAAACGTGTTGCAATCTGACGCCACTGTATGTCATCTCAATGAAGGTCATTCATTGCAAAAATAATATTTAACTTGAATCTGGGACCAAGAAACATTTGCAACATTTTTCCAAAACCACTTTATCTTAATTTTTTTCGTGAGGAATTTTTTGGCAGTGTATTTATCAGGCTCCCGTAATAAGTAAATGATAATTTGCCAAATAGGCACTCATCATGGCCAACAAATTATTGAAACATGTAGGAGAAATATTTGACCAGCAAATATTGAAACATTCTTTGTATGTACATGTACACGTATCATGAACATAAACACAATACACTATTTATCATGCTGGCGTCCGGAAATTGGGCACAAATCAGGCGGAGGGGTTGTTCCTTTGTTCATGTTCCTTAAATCATGGGGGAGGGGGTAGACTTCCAAGTAAATGCCATGTTTAATAATACGAACGGTAGGCCTATTGGCAAAAACCACGTGAAAACGTGTTGCAATCTTACGCCACTTTATATCATCTCTATGAAGGTCATTCATTGCAAAAATAATATTTAACTTGAATCTGGGACCAAGAAACATTTCCAATTGTGAGGTAATAATTAAAAAGTTTTCTTGCCTCTCCATAGACTTTGTTCACAATTGCACGCTGCGACCAACACCATCCTAAAAGTGCATCGAAATTCCTTTGAGGAAGGATTGTCTCTAAATCCCCCTTTTCTCCTTATAGTGGAAAACAGGTTCTCCACAATATCCTGGTTGAGGCGTGATGTGAGCAGAAATCTAACGTCGCTGGTCTCTTTCATATGTTGCCACAGTTAAACACATGATATGGCCAGACGCCATCCCTCAATGAACATTACTCTCTTAGCTCCAACTACTCTTAGACTATTTTAGCACAGGCAGGCATGTATTGAAGAAGGCCTTGTGTTCAGAGATTTGAGATAAAGGCCTTTTAAGTTTCTTTGGGTCTTTGAAAAAAATCTTCCATTGAAAGAGTCAAACAATGAGTCAATCATTTCAATGAATTCAGCCGTGTATACATGCCCCCAGCTTCTGCCGGTAGCTTGCCAAAAGCTATACATTCCTGCTGCAACAGAATGACTGAGGACTTGAGCGGCTTTATTTACTCGCATTTTGGAGAAGCTGGTGAGCTCAAAGTGACCATTCATAAGTTTGTGCGCTTTTCTGATTGGCAGCTGGGAGTCTTGTTCGTAGAAGTCTCGGATGTGAGCCCATCTGATGTGTTTTCATCCATCTTTTCCATTGATTTTGAAGACGTACTTCTCTAAATTCGATCTTGTATTCTTTAGAAGATGTGGAGGGTCGTGCATGAAAAAGATCTTTTCTTGATCATGGAGGATGAAAGGCTGGTCTGCTGTGACTGAAAGATTCTTATACAGTTTAGTATTG